GTAAAGCCTCTTATGGCCAAATTGGTCAACTTGAGTTTGGTTCCCAGGACACACATGGTAGAAAGAAGAATGAACTCCCAGAAGTCATCTCCTGCCCTCCCCACACCCACCATGGCATGCATGCCCACACATATGTACACACCTATACACAAACTAAATAAAATGTAACAATTTTTTTTAAAAAGCTGTTCTGGGTTATTTGTCGTATCATAAACAAAACAATTTCCTAGCTTCAAAGAGTCAATAGCCTTATATACAAATAATGAAAGTACAGAGATACACTCCAGGTGTTACAGGGTCACAGATAGTAAAAAGGCAAGGTATAAAGTAGGTCTCTTGGAGGTGTAAACATTCCCTAAAGGATGAGTAGGAACTATCCTGTTAAGGGCATTTTCACAGAGGGAGCAGTCTGAGCAAAAGGCACAGAGCTAAGAAACAGTATGCTATATTTCAGGAAACAATGAACAGCTGCTAAATGTTGCTTGAAGCTAGTAACACCAAGATGGGGCCAGAGCAGGCTGAGCTGTCAAGACAGGGGAAGAAGACAGTAATCAGAGAACTTCAATCTTATCCAAAAGACGAGGATCAGGGAGGAAATGATCAAAGAAAATGATTCCTTCAAAAGATTATTCAGGAAGCAGTGTAGAGAATGGAATTAAGGCTAGAAAAAGAAGTCTGGCTAATAGGCAATATTAACTGTCCTGACAGAGGATATAAGAGACTAAAACCATAAAACAGAAGCTATACCCAAATAGGTGTGGTGACCCATGCCTTTAATTCCAGCACTCAGGATGCAGAGGCAGGAAAATCTCTGAGTTTCCAAACCAGCCCGTTATAAATAGCAAGTTTCAGAACAGCCAGGACTACACAGTCACCCTGTCGCAAAAAAAAAAAAAAAAAAAAAATACTGTACCTAATCTGGAGAAAAACTACACAGACAAAATACTATTGCCTTATTGCCTTTAACCCCAGCACTGGTAAAGCAAGCGGAGTGGCAGGAGGGCATCTCTATCAGTTCCAAGCCAGCCAAGGCTACACAGCAAGACCTTGTTTTAAAATATATATTTTATATATATATATATATATATATATATATATATATATATATATATCACACTAACCTACCCTGGTTAACAGATTTTTTTTTTAATAAAACAGCAAATATTTCAGCCGTATGTTCCACATACAGTCTTACTCTTTATTTTCTGTCTCTCTGTGCAGCCCAGACTACAGCAACTCCCTATGCATACCAGACTGGCCTAGAACTAACTCACAGGCAAACAATTGCCTCTGCCACACCTCGCTCTCTTCTTTTGTCTTTTAGGCAACCACTAAAAATTGAAAGCATGCAGCTCCAGGGGGGATTCAATCCCTCTAGTTTCAGAGGACACCTGCACTCATGTGCACATAGCCCCACACAGATAATTAAGAACAGTAAAAATAGCCAGGTGGTGGTTAATAAGTGATAACAAACGCCTTTGATCTAAGCACTCAGGAGGCAGAGGCATGTGGATCTCTTGAGTTCAAGACCTGCCTGGTCTATAGAGCGATTCTAGGACAGCCAGGGCTACACACAAAGAAACCCTGTCTTGAAAAACCAAAGGGGGGGGGGGGGTAAAAATAAATATTGTTTTATTGATTACAATTTATTCACTTTGTATCCCAGCTGTCGCCCCCTCCCTCAGTTCCTCCCAATCCTACCCTCCCTCCCTCTAAAAATAAGCATTTTTAAAAACAAAATTCAGCTAACAAACTTTTTTCTTAACGTTTACATGGTGTACTTGGGATGTAAGCCATAGGTAGCTTGCTGACCCTTGCTGCACACTGCTAAGAAAATGAGGATTAACCTTCCTATGAGATCAGCTTTCCTAACAGTTACTTGCATCATATTAATACCCAACTCTAAAATCTCCAACGGTGTACCGTGCCGAGTAAGTCCAATTCCTACAGTGCCTAACATTCATAGGCATCTCCAGCTCCAATCTATAATCCCAGGCTTTCCAACCATCCCCATAAGAAATGACCATTCTTATTAAATTGAACTACTTACACTTACTGCCTCTGTATATGTGTGCTATTTCCCAATACAACGTTCGTTCCTCCTGTTCCAAACTTGACTAAATATCCTTCCTTCAGAGCACAATTCAAATCTTACCTCTACACGACTCCCTCTCCTCAGAACTTCTAATCCCACTATCTCAATTTAACAGATACGTAATTGCTTACTGAAGTTATAATTTACTTCAAATAAACTCTAACCTCCTGAGGGAAGACAGAAGTGTACAGCACCTTCAGTCTATGGCTCTAACAACATATAACGACGGGCACATGTGTATGAGTGTATGTAATGTAAGTGTACAACTTTTTCTTTCTGAAACAGCTAGTTAACTGACGCCAGTGTGGTTTTGCCTTTATTTCTTTCAATAACTGAATGCCTTCATTCTATGTATACAACCTGAACACTGGAAAAAAACACAAAATGACAATCAACAAACATATCTTTCCTATATCTCAGTTCTTTATACACTAGTTGCCTAGAGAAACAACAGCATAACACAAATAAAAACTCCCCAATAGTAGGTCATTATTTCCACACAGGTACACTATCATAACACTACAGACACAAGTTATCAGACCAATTTTATGCTACACACCTATAATTTTGCTTCATTTGCTTTTAGGATACAAATTTAGCTTCTAAAACTTAGCTTTGAGTTTGCCCTTAATTTCCTCAATATTAGTCAAAATTAAAATCTCCCAGGCCGTGGTGGCCCACACCTTTGATCCCAGCACTGGGAGGCAGAGGCAGGAGGATCTCTGTGAGTTGAAGGGAGTTAGTTCCAAAACAGCCAGGACAGCACAGACAAATCCTGTGGGGAGAAGGAGTCTCACCCACCCCAAAAAAAAATCATACATCTGAATTCCAGTAAGTTATTATTTAGTCCACCCATATTTTAGGAAAGAATATAATTACCTACAGCAACACCTGTAAGGAAATTTACTACTCATAAGTATAATAGCCAGAATTTTTTTTTTTTTTTTTTACCAGGTTAAAGGCTACATCATGTCTTTAAACTCTGAGGAATTCTAAGACCAATACCGTGAACTGTGATCAATTTTACTACCCATATAAATGTTTAACAATCGAAAAAATTCCCAAAATATTTGCTCACATTCCAATGTAAGCTACAACAAAAGCTTAAAACATTTGTAACAAATGCACACAAAAACCACAATGAATATATGCCAAATGATAGCCATGAATATGAAAAATGTGACTTTCTAATTATCCAAAACATACTGGGAAAAAAAAATAAACACTTATTTATAAGCCTTCTGTTTAACAATGAGTAATATTAATAACACACTGATTTATAAAGGGCAAACTCGGGAGTCAGAGAGCCGGCTTGTTCAACTCCTATTTTACCACTGGTCTTGGGTGCAGCACTAAATTTCTGTATCCCCATACACTGACACCAGAATAGCTTAACTGACATTTCCAGGTTGGGGGAACTGATTAAAAGTCTATGAAGTACTTCAGGACCGTGAAGGGAACTCACTGTAAGTATAAAATGTCATACTTATCTAATGCAAAAACCACAGCTACCTGTTAGCAGTAGTTCCAAACCCAACCGTGTAATTCTTTTGTGTCTTAGCAGGGCAAATCCACTGTGAACCAGCAAGGTGCATGTATTTCAGGAGCTGGTTAAACAATGTCAGAACAAACAACTGCCTTCCAATTTCTCCGTTTTCTCAAAATAACCGTGTCACTATCCAACCCTAGTTCTTACAAAGGAAAACATGAAGTTTAGGGCCAGGTGTTGATAAGCCCGGATAGACTAGAGACCATCAGGAATCACGGAGGAACTTTTCTTTGTTACCACACCAGAAATGTGACCCTTGACAATAATCTCAGAAAACAATCGTTGTGACTAGAGGAACTGGCCCTACCCTTTCTTACCTAAAGAACTCCACATGGCCTTTAAGAGTGAGGAAAAGAAGGCAGAATTCTCTCAGAACGTAAGCTAAACTGGGCAGGTAGTCCAGCAACTGCTCTGTGCTGAGCGCTGGGTACTGAAGAGGTTGCTCGGGGAAAAGTGCTGATGCCATCTCCAGCTGCCGCTGAATGACAGTAACAATGCAAACACTGACAAAAGAGCTAGGAGGCCACCCAGAGCCCCTGCCCGGCAGCACCTCTGCCCGAGCCTCCCCGTACAAAGCGACAAATCCCCCCCCCGAGAGGCCCTCTCCTGACAGATCTTCCAAGCGGAGACCTAGCGTGGCACCGAAGTCGGGGAGGAAAGTGCCGCCTGTCACTCCTTCCAGGGCCGCGGGGTGCCTCGAAGGTGAGGGCAAAGGCTGCGGTCCCCTCGGCCGGTCCCTGGCACGAGGACCACGCCGACTCGTCCTTCCCGGCGGCAGCGGCCGTCCGCGGAGTCCCGCAGCCCGCGCTCGCCCCGGCCGGGCCGGCAACTCCTCGCCCAACTCTGCGGGTGCCAGGCCGCCGGCCCGAACGCCGGGTGGGGGAGGCGGCGCGGCCCGGCCCGCTCCCTCGGCACGCGGTCCGCGCCCGCCCGCCGCCCTCCGCCCGCGTCCCC